TACGAGTCATGATTCAACTTAACCTATAAAGAGCTCAATCTGAATGAATTTGGCCCCTTAACGTATCGGGACTCCTTTTGAAAGCTTAGCACAAGATATATATGTTGAAGCCCATACCCATCCCATAAGGACCAGGGGCTTTGCATTTATTTGAAAGTTCAGCCCTGCCCTATAGTAGAGTATCTTTTCCCTATCTAAGCTATATCAACATAGTCAACTATCAAACTCATCCGCTTGTCAATTCTTGGTGTAATACTCACTCGTAAATGATTGGTGTCAGAATTTTTCACTAATCAGGTGTGATCAGTCTCATCCGTGTAAGAATTAGGAATTCCTCTTCCAACTCGTCCCAAAATGGGCGTTATGGCAAAGAACAAGAAGAATACAAAAGGAGAAATTTGTCCAATAGTAACAAATGGTGCCTCCACAGGTTGACATCCGATCCAACCTAGTAGTAAGCAATCCGCCAAAAGCAACCAAAATATTCCTTGGTGAATCGGGCGAAAACTTGAACTACGTACATACATACTTTTAAAAAAAGGTAAAGCCAACAGACATATAAAAACTGGTCTGTTTCGAATGATCGGGTTTCAACGGCAAGCAGCTAGGGAAGCATTTATTCCCAAGCGATAGAGCTTGGAGTTCATATTGATGCCTTAGTCCACTTCGAGATAGAAATCTACTAATAATGGAAAAAGATATGCTCTTGAACTCCAACAGTAAGTTGATCAGTTACTATCGGTAGGGACGGGAGACAAAACTGCCACTGATGGGCAAGCGATAAGAAGCCTGAAAGCGATTCTTACACAAGATACGATGACAGGGAGGGAGTTCGATCAAGAATAGACAGAAAAAAAGGCTGCTAGGCTCCTTTCTTTCTCATGGGAGGGGTTCGCATCCAACCCTTATCGATACCCGACACTTTAGTGAATCGGGTTTTGATCCGGTTCTAACTATGGGTAGGAAGCAGGAACCATTATGTAAAAAATTTCGGGATCTCTTAGACTACCATCGATCGACAGAGCGGAACGACCAGAAAAAGAAGTGAAGTTAGAAAGCCGTATGATAGGTGGTAACTATCTTGTACGGTTCGGGGGTAATCGGCGTACTCCGATCAGTGGGGGAGGAATCTTTGGCTCTATCGAACATACAGGGAATTGGAGGTAGCATTCTACCGATGTCAAGTCATGGACTGGTTTCTTCAGCCCTTTTTCTATGTGTTGGTGTTCTATATGACCGACATAAGACTCGACTTGTTAGATATTACGGAGGTTCAGTGAGCACCATGCCGAATCTCCCTACCATTTTCTTCTCTTCCACTTTGGCCAATATGAGTTCACCAGGTACTAGCAGCTTTATCGGGGAATTTCTCATCTTAGTAGGAGCTTTCCAAAGAAATAGCTTAGTAGCCACATTAGCAGCGCTTGGGATGATTTTAGTTTATTTAGAAAAATGACATAGAATCAAGTTCGTAAGAAATAGCTTAGTAGCCACAGAATGAGCTATACCGACCGACGTTACGATATTTCGTAAATTGGTGTTGGCTGGTATAACCAGTCGATGATCCACTTCTAATCGACGTAAGTCGTTGAATGTGGATGGTCCTTCCACCACTTCGAGTGGCGGATTCTGGTGCCCTTGTGGTAGGACCGCGACAAGTTCGCTAGCTTCCTTTAAAAAAGGCAAGACGGCAGAAAAAAGATCGTCCATATATTTCGTTTTTCAAGTCTAAAAAGAAGAAGCACTGTGAACTATCTGCTTCAAAAAGATAGTTGGTTGAATGAAACTTCTTCGATCAGAATACGAATGAGATCAAAAAGGCCATCCTTGAGGCAAAGGATAAACCTCTCCTGACCGAGTTCCATAGGCATCTTCCATTCATCTCGATTTGGGTTTTTCCGCACCATATTTTGATCTGCCTCTTCTTCGATCCGGAATTCCCAGCAAATCCTTGACTCCTCGAATACAATGGGATTTCACACCTGGCGAATCTTTCACTCTACCTCTTCTTTCCTATGTACAAGAATAAAGTTAAAAAAGCAAACATAAAAAAGTTTTATTATGTTTGCTTTTTACCCCCAAGCTTGGTGGATTAGTCATCATAGCCGGAAGCGGGTTTCAAAGATCAACTGTATGGAGTTTTTACTATCTATATATACCAGTACACATAGGGCCAGCTGCTTTCTTTATCTCGCTTGCCCGGTTCTCTTCTACCCTATCCACACCGCCCATCTATGCTGATCGAGAGCCCGACCCATGGTGTGCTAGTTCCAGGAGCTATAAACTAAAAAAAAATGGGAAAGAGTACAACGGGCCCCTTCATTGATAAAGGTAGGTCCGCCTAGAGAGGATAGCTTATCTAGGAAAGGAATGAAAAGGCAAATGGTTTCCTAGGAAGGAGATGGTGGTTGGTCGACTAAAGGTTAGAGTTAGAGGACTAAGTCGAAGCGCAGCACATAAGCGCATATTCATTCTCGGTTCCTCTGTTTGTTGCGAGAGAGCTAATCGAACGGGAGGGCACTAAACCTTATGTTGTGAGGAAGGGCGAGTGACGAAGAAAGAAGTGCCATGAGCAAGGCAAAATGAGAAGTATGATTGAAAGTTGGTTGCCCTTTACCTTAACCGCTTATAACCAGAGCAAGCAATAAATCTTCTATTTCTGGCGGGAAGTCAGGCAAGGCGCTTTGAAACCCTCCTGATCGCTCTTTAATCGGTTGCACCTCATTCCCATCCTCCCTACGTCTTCATCTTCAAGACGAGCTTCTTCCTGTTTTTAGGTTGACGAGTGAAGGCTCCCAGAGATCTTCCTTTCAATGAGGCATTCTCAACTCCTTTATTTCATTTCTCATACCGGCACTTTTAGAAAGTCCTAAAAAAGCGTGGAATGAATATGGTAGAGTGCAAGCGGCAGACACATAGGCAGGTGCCTGCAGATTGGATTTCATTGGCAGGGGCAACTTACCTTATTAGATAGGGGGGGGAAAGCGAGAGCTTCAAGAACAAGGGCGATTGGAAGGAGCGACATATCGATATACATATATAACCAACCTCACAGATCCAACTCAATCTTTTACACCGATGTATCGTACTCTCGCGACCAGGTCATCATAAGAAAAGACTGCTAAATCTTTCCGAAGCGTAAACTAGTAGACATTTATGCGACTACCAAGGCGATTCTCCCTACTATAGGGAGAGAACCCCAATCCCCCACTAGCAGCATTTCGGCTGCTCCAGCTGGAACAGGGACAGAAGTGGCTACAACCAATCACCTTGCTACCGTTGTTGAACAACAAAATTTCCCCTTGCAAGTTTTTGAGCTGGAGGAAGAAAGTCTTTTTGATACCACTGACCTTATCTTTGATGGACTTTGTGAGCAGCTGCTTTCACTTCACTCCATGAATCCCATCCCAAAATTGAGTCAAAATGTGAGCCCGAAAAAAACTCCTCTTTCTGGAGAACTTCTATCACGGGACTGCCTAAAGAGACTCCTAGTGTTAAAACAACTATGTAACTTAATGAAAAACTATGGCAGAAAATCCTTAGGCGCTTTTAAGCCCTCTTGGCAGACTAGGACCAATTGGATGGTTAGAGAACAAGGCTCCCTATCAAACTTTTTTTCGCCAGCAATGGGATCTCTCATAACTCTTAACATTTCTCGTTGTCGGGAACGATGCGGGTGGCATCTCGAGCTCGGGTCAACTACTCTTTTTCGTTTACGGTTTCGTATCTCAACAAGGGCATTCGATTATTAGAATATGTCACTTGCCGATACTAGTTCCAGGGCAATAGGGTAAGCTCCTTGCGCTATGATGCTAAAGAGATGCCCCTGAGAATCATATCTCTGAATTGCAGACCATTCGGGGCATATTCCTTTCGACTATGGCATAGGGAGGGTATTTCCTTTAAACAGTAAATAGCCCATATTAAAGAATTCATGGTCAAGAACTAATTCGCCTTAGGGCAACTTGTCCTATTCCTTAGACTCTTTCCCCTTGCTCGAGCCAATAGAAGTAATCGTCTTCCATGGGATGGCTTGAGGGGCATCCTCCGAAATTCTCCCGAACAGCCTTTTGATTCACTTGCCTTGATAAGAGCGCTAGGCACCGATTCATAATTTCTTTCTTTTGATGAGAAAGAATTCGTAGAGCTTTTTCTCCCTGGTGTGAAACCCGAATCAGAATTACCTTCACTTTCTGGATCATCAAGGAAAAAACAACGCTTCATTTACGGGTCAGAAAGATTAGATCTCAATGCGGAATTTGCATACTTTGATAGAGCATAACTCATAGACCGAGAAAAGAATTTCCTTCAATCCGATGAAGGATTCAAATAGATTGCATTACCAGTACCAGGCTCTAAAAGAGTTTTCTTGCTCGCTCTGCGAAAACGGTTTTCTTTCGTCAAGCGCCTGTCTGCTTTCACGAACGTATAGTAACTAACTAGCCCTAAACCGTAACTGAAACACTCTCTTCTCCAACGAAAGCCGCCATCCAGATTAAGAAGCGGAAGCGGAAAGAGTTTACTGAAGAGGCTTTCATCTACTGCCTCCCTAACTAGAAAGAAAGAGGGGATCAAAAAAGCTTGAAACTAGTAAGGCCTTTAATAACAACGGCTAAAGTGAAAAGCCTACCGCCCTTACCTCTTCTCTACCCGGACCTAATCCAAGCACTGAATCGATCAAGTTAGTTGGTTTCCGCTTTCATAACAAATAAGGCGTAAAAGAAAGGTATTTTCTTGAAAGGTATATTCAAATAAACTTAGCTTACCAAGAGTTCCGGAACTAGAGAGATAAGAGATAGGATTTTTTCTCCATACGAGGAAACTCAGTCACGTCTATCTGATTGATCTCCTTGACCTGAGTCTCGGTTTTAGCGATATTCCCTCCTTCTTTCAGGCTCAAGCTCTGTCTGGTCTTCCTTCCCCATTCCCCACAGGCTTCCGGGTCTGTACTCTGTTCGGACCAGAAGACTTGCAACACTGACTTACCGAAAAATACTGACAGCTTTCCGACTTTTCGTTCTGCCTCTACTAGTAAAGGGGCTTTTTTCTTACAAGAAGCTTGACTTAAAAGGCTTGAAAGAGTTTTTTCTATGATAGGCTTGAACTGAAAAAACAGTTCTAGAAAGACGCTGTAAATAATGAAAAATCCGTCTTTCTTCTATAAAAAAAGCTATTCTCTAAGCCAACTTATACAAAAAAGTAGTCCTAAACCAAGGAAGACGCTTGAGTCTTTAGACTTAGACTCACGCACAACGGCTTCAACAAGAACTATATGAATAGCATAGCGTTGTAGCGCTAGTCTAAACTAGAAGCCGTTGCTTGTTTTGTTTTTTAGAATCTAAAAGGTCTCGTCTTTCCGCAATATATGGCAGAGGGACTGGTAGGTTCCTTTCTTCATTGGTTTAGGACTACTTTTAGACAGTCTCACTGACACCATTTACGAGAAGGTGAGGTCGTCTTTCTTTCCAGCCGCCATACGGTTCGCCTTAAAGCCCTAAGGAGAAGGGGAGGAGCGGTTATCTATGTAATTACGGTCTTTGTTGGCCGTTGTTCCGGTCGAGCACTCTATTTTCTTTGTCCAATTCCGTCTTACCAAACAAGACTGACTTCTTACCAACCCGCGAAGGGTTGTGAGGCTGGACCAGGTACGAAGAATTCATCTATATCTGTGTACGGAAGTTGCTGGCCGGCGGCCGCTCAACTGTTCGAGCGCAATGCAGTGGTGTTGGTTCCGATTCGACAAAGGTAGAATGCCTGGTCGAAGGTCCAGTACAGTAGGTAGCAGGCGTGTTCGTTTTGGCTCCCGAGCGAGAACGATAAATAGGCGATGCACCATCCTAGAATAATAGTGAGACATTGGCAAAATTGGTGAAAAATATTACAGCATTAATCCTAAAGTCATCCATGGATGAATCAATATCTGAGTTTTAAATTGTTGCAACTAATCTGATGCCAGTTTCAAATATATGTGACAAGAATGTTTAAAAGTTCCAACTTTTTATTGAATCCTTTTCTCCATTCAAGCCTCAAACAACCATAGCACATAAAGTAATCATCTTCCCCCTCCCCCCAACCAAACAACAAAATCTCCAAATTGGTTGGACAGTTGATTTCGTAATCACAAAATTACAAGTTTGACTCTAATTGTAACGGCCTATTGGCCTAACCTTCTTAGTTTGCCTCCTTGTGGCCATAGCCCATAAAGTAATCATCTTTTGCACAACAAAATCTCATTCAACCAAATTGGTCGGACAGTTGATTTCGTAATCACAAAATTACAAGTTTAACTCCAATAGTAACGGCCTATTGGCCTAACCTTCTTGGTTTGCCTCCTTGTGGCCAACTCAACCTTGGTTGGGTTGTTGACTTTTCATAATCACGATAGTATAAATTTGACTCAGAGCAACCTATTAGCATAGACCTTCTTGGTTTGCCTCGTGGCCATAGCCCATAAAGTAATCATCTTTTGCCCCCAAACAACAAAATCTCGTCAGGGGCAACCCGGTAAAGTTGGTTAGTTTGACCTATAAGTCTCCTTGTTGCCATAGCCCATAAAGTAATTATCTTTTCCCCCAAACAACCAAATCTAATGGCAACCCAGTCAAATTGGTCAGTTTTGACTCGGTAATCACAATATTACAAGTTGACTTATTGGCATAATTTAAAGGTGCCATCTATAGGCCTCTAGGCTGTTTTACCTGTGCAAACTCTCAGATAGTAACTACGGATTCTCTCATATGCAAAACAAAACAAAATCTCAATTCTTGAAAACATTGTAAATCCAAAATAGGTTAACAAAAGACAATCACAAACAGAGGAAACAAGAAAACTTGGTACCGTTTCACGGATGTCCTCTCCATGTAAGTCCTGGAGAATATCAAGGAAGCGATCGAGCAAGAGAGCGTCGTACTCCACAAGCTTGTCGTCCTCGGAGACCTTCGCCGGCGCCAACAGCCGCAGCTGGGCATCAATGGATGCCATCTTCTCAACATTCCTGCTCATCTTCCTTCACTCTCTCGCTATATCCGCTAAGCTTGCGAGTCAAAGAAAGGGACACAGAGAGGAGAAAAGGGCACACGAGACTTCAATCCAATTGATCCTTTTTATCGAGCAGAAACTGCAGGATTGACAGCAGTGAGGAGCAGTCAAGATCCTCACGGAAGAAAAAGATGATGATTGACGAGTCCCGAGTTGAGAAGAGTTAGTAGGACTTTAGGAGTGTGAGGGGTAGAGAATAGTGGCACAGAAAAACTGGGTTTTTATATGAAAGTTTGGGTCCTTTGAAACTCTGCTTCGATTGATTGCTGTTCATGCCAAGCACGTCAGCCCACATGCCCAGTTGAGTTATACTATTACTCAATTTCTGTGGTGAGCATGAATCATGGGGTGTTCATTTGATTAATAACGGTACTGAATTAATTATCAAGGAACTTGATTCAATGGTATCTGGTTTGCTCTCCTAAGTGGGAGGTGATAGGTTCTGATTTTTTTTTTAAAAAAAATTTAACTATTAATTGAAGTGAAATATTTCAATTAATGAAATGGTTAATTGAATTTTTCGATTCGGTCTGTTTATCGTGTTTTTATCACATTATACACACTCCTAATCATGATTTAGCTCTATTAAAAAATTTTAGTTAAAACGACATTTTAAGTTATTATTTTGTAGTATAAATATTTATAAAATCACTCTCAATTTGAGTCGAATCAATGTGGATTCAGATTTTTTTTTTAATGAGACAAAGAAATCAAGTATATTGTACTCTCAAGATTTATCTAGTACATACACGAGGAGTAAAACCAAACAAAAAAGTAATTGAAACCTTAAAATTTAAAAGTAATTGACTTTTAATAGATAGATGTGTAGTGTCTGGTAGCAATACAGCATGACGTTGAACGCCGAAGATTCTAATATGCCGTGGAATCCTATTCAGATCAGATGCATGCAGGCTGCATATTCTATGCCACTTGACTTTTACCTACACCATTATATTATACAATTTTCTATTATTTTTATTTTTATTTGATGATATGCAATTAATTTGTCAGAAAATAATAAGAAATTTAATAATTATATTCGCATAAAATTATTTTTAAGAAATTTGAAACGTGAAATTAAGCACTTCAACTTGTTAAAATAAGTTAAATAAATTCAATTTACTGGTAGTATGTAACACGCTGTCATTCAAAAAAAAAAAAAAAAAATCGACTCCCAGTCGACTGGATTGGTCATCTTTTCTTTAAAGAAGGCGACTTACGATAATTTTTCACCACCAATTTTTTTTTTCGGAGTACCTTATGAACCTTAAGGGCCGATTATTATAGGTCACTAACGGACTATTGAGTTTAAATATACCAAAATGACAAGTTAAAGTGTTTAATTGCATCTTTCAAAAATTTATACGTGTAATTATATTTTCGTGTAAAGTTAGAAGCTCTATTTTATTCTTTTCTTTAATTTTTTTTTTAAAAAATTATTTAGACTTGTCGCAATCGACAACAGAGAATTTCATCATGCATCACGAGCACCCAGGCATGCACATTTAATTTAGGTTTCAGTGACTAAACTATGAACAATTATTGGTCTTTAATAATTTGTTCATACAATATTAGCAAGCGACCAAACACGACGTTTAATTTATTCGTATTTGGTACCTTTGGGGTGTGATTAACGACGTAATCTAATTACCTTTTACTGTATATATTTATGTTCCTTGTTTATTCAATTTCCACTTCCATTTTTAAATCCGACAAAAATGGGTTGATTGATTCAATGAATTTGATTTTTTTTTTTTTTTATTGTTGTTTAGTGTGGATATTTAAGCTAGTGGACAAGCATTGGTACGGCGAAAACGATGGTGCTGTTAAGGCTGTTTGTTTGCATAGTTTAGAGGCATTATAGGAGATCCAATGTCACTACTTCAAATGTGTTTTGGCGTTGGGGAGATGATTAATTTGTCTAATTTTTTTTTTTTTGAAAAAATAGTCTGTAGCCATATATTAATGAATGAATATATGAATAGAGTCAGGTGGGACTGAATCCCAACACATAATCCTGATCAAACGCTAATGCCGCTAAAGGTGTAGCCATATATTAATTTGTCTAATTTGATTTACTAGAAAGTCAATAATCACGTATGTATATTTTGAGTAAAACATGTCTTATGTCTTTAGCTAAGAAAGGGATTACAAATAGATAAAGTAATCTAAATTACTCGTAACTGGTCGATTTAATAAGAAGGTTAATAGACAATTCTCACTGAAAGTCAAACTTTAAGCGTGGTGGTTATCAAACAAACTGTCAAATTAACTTGATTTGAAATGCCACGATTAATTTTTCTTCCATTCTAAAGGATGGTTGGCTATAAGATTGGGGGCAAATTATTGTGTGGACCCGGGTCCACCTTGTAATGTGAATTCAGGTAAAAAAAAAACATAATTTATATACTGAATATTCACAATTTACATACTGAACGTTCACAATTCACTGCTAAAAATTATGGAATTTCCAACCACCTGAAAGTGATCTTAAATCAAGTCGAAAGCCTTGTTCCTATCACTTTTGGTATCCGGAAAAACCTTTGTTGCTATTTCCGACCACTTTTTGCTTTCGAATTGATTCAAGATCACTTTCAGGTGGTCGGAAATTCAATAATTCCCAACAGTGATTTTATATACGAAATGTTCACAATTTATATACTGAATATTTATAATTTTATATTCTAAATATAAATTGTGTATTTTGATCTGAGTCAACTTTACAAGGTGGACCCGGTCCATGACATAACTGTCGAAGATTGGGTGTTGAAAGGTCCTCATATGATATTTCATTATTTTGGCCCACGAAAATTTGAAGGCCTTTATGAAAACCAAAGTTTCCAAAACATTGGGCTTTTGAAAATCTAACTAAAATGGGGCCTTGGGAAACATTGACAATTCCTGGATCTTGGACTTAATACAATCAATAAAGCAATTTATATCGTGCACCACGATGCATAATCAATTATGCATCGAACTTCAAAATAACGTCGTTTTGTTTAATAAAGAAATGACACTTTTTTTCGTCGTTCCGTAAAAAGCAACTATGTTATTCAGTTTCATTTTGTATACACTGCAGTTTCGTTTCAACACAACTACAGTTTCATTTCATTTCAATTGCAGTTTCACTTGATAATATAAAAATAATACGTGAGACAGTGTCAGTTTAGATACATTGTAATTTCAGTTGGTAATTAACACACAAAAAATACACACTCTGTTAACTGTAACGGCGCGCTGTTTCTTTATTAATAGGCTTAAGGGGTTATTGAGTCAGTATAATCTGATTCATTCACAATTTTTGTAGAGCTAAAATGCATGTGAGACTCAAGACCTTAGGGATTTCACATTTTCCATACAAGAAAAGTAATGATGAGTGGGTTGCACCAACGTAACTTATTATAAATAGAGTTAATACCCAAAATAGTCTTTCGACTATGTTGAAATTATCAATTTGGTCCTCAACTATCATTCTTACCCAATTAAGTCCTCAACTATACAATTTTTATCCAATTTAGTTCTTTGTCAATTTGACTGTTTGTTGACTGTCAAAAGTGGAAATAAAGTTGTAATTTTACAAGTTTTCTCCTTCCTCCTCATTTAGCAGCGCCAAACCATGTAGCAATAAGCTCCGGTTGGGTTCTAAACCTGTCAGTATCGAAGTAGTGGTTATGCATCGGATAGCCTATGAATTTGATTTCCAACGATTTTTTGACGATCGAAATCTGATCGGAGTGTATTGTTGCATGGTTTGGCGCTGCTAAATGGAGAGGAAGGAGAAATCTTGTAAAATTATAATTTTATCCCGACTTTTGACAGTCAACAAACAGTCAAATTAATACAGAGACTAAATTGGGTAAGAATTGTATAGTTGAGGACTAAATTGGATAAGAATTGTATAGTTGAGGACTTAATTGAGTAAAAGTTACATAGTTGAGGACTTAATTGGGTAAGAATGGTAGTTGAGGACCAAATTAGTAATTATGGCATAGTCGAGGGACCATTTTAGGTATTAACTCTTATAAATATCATCCGAAGAAGAGTATAAAGTTAAAGATGCTTCAACCCATTCTTTTGTTGTTCAAACAACACCAAAAGAAAGAGGAGATCGCACCTGACCTGAGCTTGACGTTTTCGGATTTTGTCGGATTTTTCGTCGGCAAACAAAACGACAAAAACTCCTACTTATTCCAATACCCAATCTTTTTTAAAAAAAATAAATAAATTTTCTTTTGCTACCAAAATTAGCCCAATGAAAATCGGTTTATTATCTATTGCTCATTAATGTACTTTTTCTCATATGCAATATCTTTTCGTTGATAAATGATATAATGAAACCAAATTTATGATTTGAAATGCCATTTAGCTAGGTCTGCTAGCTGATGGTAAGGTTTAAAGATATTATATTATTTATACACCTTAATTATGAATTGTGATGCTCTATTGAAGGGGGTAAGGGATGGATGGATACAAAATGAGTGAGAAGTACGGGGAATTTAGTGATCATGTCAGAATATGACAACTCATAAGTTGATTGTGAAAATTATTGAGTCCGAAAGAAGTTGAGATGTCTGAATCTGTCAAAATCAATCTTAAACTCACATAGAGAGGAAGTGTTGAGCGTGTTTTAGTTCATCATTTTTAGATTTAGGATCTGATATGTTTTGGTGGTTAACCCCCTTATATTCCAAGCACACACACACCTAGGCGTGCATGGAGGACAGACGAAGACCTTTGATGAAGCTAGAGTAGTTGCAATGTATTCATGAAGTAATTGTAGTGCATTCATGCAGTTTTCAAGTTCTCACCGAAGACGTGATTAAGAACCAGATTTTATATATATATATATATATATATATATATATATATATATATATATATATATATAAGGAAAATTTGTCAACATTCATGTTACTTATTGATGGTGAGATTTGTACAATATTTATGTGTAAATAACTAAGATTGCAACATGTAAGAAGTAGTTGAGTACGTGAGACAATTTTTCATTGACGGTATGACTGAGTCTTCTTGCATTAACAATATTTCAAAATAGTTAGTCTTGATATCTAATTTAGATGCATTGATTGAAGTCCATTAGTTAATGTCTTATAAATAATCAAGGATCATTAGTTGGA